GGCCAGCTTCGTCTTTCAGCACGGCTCAGCCGAGCCGATGCATATGCGTTCGGCTCGGCTGAGCCACTAGGCCATGATCGGGAGCTGTACGGGCTATTGTGAATACGGCCAGATCCTTCGGCAGCTTCGTGAATAGACCCCTCACTGTAAAACATTACAGGTTTTTGTACAGGCCAGGGTTTAGGTAGTGAATTCCTAGCATTAGGACTACTGTTACCCCAAAATGTCAGTAAAAGCCATAACTGTCACTACAATATACATACAGGAAACGAAAACTCACTCATGTAGAATTTATTGGTTACAAAACTTCATGTGGCGAAAAACGTTGATGCCAGTGTTTCTACACCAAAAACTTTCTAATTTTCCAAATGTTAAAAACAATGCACTATATATCAGTATAAATAAAGATGTGTACATTTGCATACAGCTGAAGTTCTTTTAATTGTTTTCTGTGACAAGAAATATGAAACAACATAATGAAGTAAAAGAAATAATATAAATTAACTGGTAAGCAGCGTTTTAAGAAATGCTGCACATTTAGGATGCAGGAAAAGAGGCAATAGTTTAGAAATCTCTAATGATCTAGAACAGTGTTTCTCACCCAGGTGCCGCAGCAAAATAAAAAAAAATTCCCCAAAAGTCAGTACCAAAATGTGTTATTACCCAGCCTGTGGATCCTGCACAGTGTCCTTTCCCACCTCTCCCCTGCCCACTTGCAGTAGCAAAATTTTAAATTGTGGCTGCCGACAGCACCTTTGGCAACCGATGATGTCATTGGTTGTTAGGAATCAGTCGTGTGCCTTGTGGGATGCCCACTTGCTCCCTGGCAACCGGTGATATCATTGAATGCTGGTGGGCGGCCTGTACAGCATACTTTATTGCCTCTTCTCTGCAGCACAAGATACTACCCTCCAGCGTTTAATTATATCACTGGTTGCCAAGGAGGAAGCGGGCATCCTGAAAGGCATCCTACTATATTCCTAGCACCGATGACATCACTGGTCGCTAAGGGCACTGTTAGGGGCCATAGTTTAAGACTTAGCCAGCTGCCTAAATCCACCACCTCCTTCAGGGTGCTCACTAGCTCCTTGAGGAACGTCTCCATGCTCACGGCTACACCTAACTGGTGTAGCCGTGGCATAGCACAAGGGAGAAAAACGTTACTAAACACGGAGGCTTCGGCCTATGAACACTGGAGCCTCCTGGGTCTACAGAGCTCGCCGCTGATGTTCCCAAGCACCTGCCCCCCATCCCTATGGCAACAGGCACAAACCTTACATGGCAACCAGAACTCCATTCTGTTGCTAGGGCTTGTTTTAAGGATCTTTTCATGCTCTAGTAGTAGTAGCAGCAATTAAGAATTATGGTTGCTGAGCAACGTAGGGAAGGAGATTTTTGGTTTTGGGAGTTTATTCTGCAAATAAAGCCATGAAAGGTTTTTTTTTTCTTTTTAATGACTGCGGGGGTGAATGAAGATTTTGTTTTCTTCCCTAGACCAGTGTTTCCCAACTGGGGTGCCGGGGTGAACAACATGAGTTCATCGGGGAGCAAGAGGGGATCCCGTTAGGCACCCTACTGATTTATAGCAAACAATTATGTCATCTGTCGGTAAAGATGCTCTCAGCAGTCATAGTTTAAGGCTTAAACTGTGACTGTCAACAGCGTCTTTAGCGACCAATAAGATCATAGGTTGCTAGGAATCAGTCAGGTGCCTTGCAGGATGCCCACTTACTCCCTGGCAACCAATTATATCGCTGAACGCTGGTAGGCGATCTGCACAGCATACTTTGTTGTCTCTCCCCTGGCCCTGCAGCACAAGCTACTACCCTGTGAAAGCTGCCCGACAGGACCGTAGCAACTGATGACATTACAGGTTGCTATGATACTGTCGGGCAGCTTTCACACGGGAAAGTAAAGTTTACATTTTAGAATGGGGTGTCTCGAAATTTTGCATACTTTAAACGTTTGCTGTGACTTAAAAAGGGAGATTCAGGGGTCTATTCCCCAAGCTGCCGAGGGCAGCCGAGTGAATGACCGATCTGAAGTGAAGTGAGCCGAACACTGTTCGGCTATTCACTTCAGGCTGGTACGGCTAATTTCAGCCATACATCAGCTGAAATCAGCCGTACATCGGCTTGCTTAGTGTGACATCGGCTTGCTTAGTGTGGCTGAATTCCTGATGCTGAAATTTCGGGCTCCCTCTAGTGGCCAATATATGTTGCTTAATTTTATTTGTCTATAAAACAATCAAATTCAGGGAGAGAAGAAACAACAATCAAGATCATATGCTATGGACATGATGCATTCATGTGTTCAGCTAGAGGAATTCAAACAATTCACTACATAATAATTAGTTCAATGTAAAAAAAATGTCATGCTAGTTTGTTTATAACATCGTGCTACACAAGGATTTAAGAGAACATTATAAATAGTATATAATACAACACTTAAAAAAAAAATACATTTAGGACTGGAAGGGCAGGTGATATGGTCATATTATGTAATTCCAGTATTAAAGAAACATATATAAAGTAGTTGTACATTTTAATAGTCAAACCTATAGCAGTTTATGCTGTATGATATATGCTGCATGATATACGGGATGTTGAAAAATATCTGTTCAGTGAAGGATTCATTCCATTTCTCCATAGGAATAGAAGATCTTTTAATGCGTGTAAGTTGGTTCTCATCATCGCATCAGGCAGGGTGACGCTTTCATGATGATTGCTACATAATTGGGCTGAATTCAGAATCTTTAACAATAAATTGTGTAAATATTTACTTCAATTATCCAATCATGTGAAAAGCAAATTCCTGTTTACTTTGAATACCCAATCATGATTGGATAATTAAAGTGAATATTAACACAGTTTATTGTTTGAAGATGCTCAGCTCCTATAGTAAATCAGCTTCCATCTCTCTATTTCTAGTGATAAGAAGTAGGCCCAATCTGAAGTACAGCATAGCTCAGACCAGAAGGCTGCCCTTCATGCACACGAAGCGTTAAAGAGAACATGCGAGGAAGTATGGCACCTGCCATGGCCAACCTCTTCTTCTGGAAATAATGGTTACCTGGCAGTCATTCTGATCCAATGGCTTTGGCTCTCTTAGAATCATAGTATGCAGACTAGGAGCTCTGCCTTTAAAGAGGAACTCCAGGATTTTAAAAGGTTAAGGCTACTCCAGCACTGCAAGAGTTAACGGCTGTTTTGGTCTAGGGAGCAGAATAAAGACAATACACTCACCTGATCCTCAGTTCTATGGCAGTCAGCATTCACTCCCTCTCCGTTGCATTAGACTTGATGATGTCAGCGGGGCTTAAACTGCCGTAGCCTGGGTAAAAAAGACTGGATGGACCGGTCTAGCAACCAGGTGGTATCGAGGATCAGCTAAGTGTATTTTCTTTACTTGCGCCCCTTGACCAAAATGAGCAGTCAGCCCTTGCAGCCCGTCTTTAAGTTGACATTTGTGATCTGGGTGCTTGTGCTGGGTTGGTGACTCAGAGGTATTGAAGCCACTGGAATGAAATGGAAGCTAAGCAACTTCATTTTCAGAAGAATGTCAGGAACCCAAGCCTCCACATTTCTCGTAGTAAAGGATTTCCATTGATTTAATAAAACATTCGTATGACAGCAGAAAGGTTTCAAAAGACTACTTAAAATAAAATTAAAGTAAAAATTGTATATCTCAAAACCATTAACCATCATATACTATATACAAAATATCAAAATGATGTATAACTAAGCACATGGCAAGAATGTCCTATACTAATTACTGGGTGCAAAAGTTACTGCTTATTTACCAATTGATCAAGCTTTATCGACGCTTAATAATTTAAGCAGCAACCGGAATAGTTACATATTGACTTAATTTAATGTTAATATGAATTGAGCACTAAGCCTACCAAGGACAAACTACAGGTTCAGTTTAGTAATGATAAATGTAATTGAGCAGTGTACTACTATATGCAATATTTCAGAACATAATCTTAATTTATGAGTTGAATTTGTCCGGATCTCTTAAATACAGTACCAAATATCAGAAGTTTTTGTGCAGATATGGAAACATTTGCATAAGCACTGGTGAATATTAGTTGTTATTTTGTACACAAGTACCTATTATATTAGGTATATTAGTCCATTAAGAGCCACAGTAACAAGCAAAAGTGCACTGCATTACAAGGTATTCCTGGTCAGCATGCACGTAAATGTATGTGTGTTAAAGTGGGCTCACTTTGTTCATTTGGATTTGTTGCTGATATTGTTTCTGCTTCTCCAGAAACTGCTGGTGCTGCTGCTGAATGACAAGCTGGGCCAGAGTGCTGTGAGGCAGCGGAGCCGACTGTGTTCTGTGCAGGGGCCGGTGCCGAGGCAGTTTGTGGGCCACCCTGCCTGTCGGAGAAATTCTCTCTTTTGCTGTAAGTGGAGACTGATGAAGAATTGCAGCACTACCTAAAATGACAACAAAAAAATGTATTTAATAAAAGGAAGCAACATTAAAAAATAAACACTTCACAAGATGCCCACCCATACATTTGGGTGGTAGAAAAACAGCTCCTGGTTGTGTCCCCCAAAAACCAGGTAAAAGCTATATACATACCAAACTGCCATTAAGGTCAAGCCCTCTTGCATATCCCTCACATCCCACAATGCAAAGGTTGCACCTCTGACAAACTATAGAGATGTATTGCCATGTAAATTATATACCAGGGTGCTGGTAATGGCATGCACCCAAATCTGTGAACAGAAGAGAGATGATGTCACATCCCTGTCCCCTCTTCTTCTCCTCCAATCACAGAATGTGTTGAATTCTTTTAAAAAAAGGGAAGAAAGGCAGTTAATGCCACCGAAGCGCTGTATAACTCGGGTTGCATCACTTCCTCTCTTTAGTGCCCAGAAGCTGGGCGTTCTGTACAGGAATGGCACGCTGCAAGGCAAGATTTTTATACTTTACAGCCACCATCTGCACATAGCATCCAGCTTTTTAATGATAATATACATCCCACGCATTGTGTAAGTTATTATTCTGCCCGGAGTGTGACTTTAAAGGAGAACTATGGGGTTAAGGCTTTTCCCCATAGTTCTCCTTAGGGTAACGGGAGGACACAAACTAGCGTCCTCCCGTTACCCTAAGTTCAGTATACTGCGAGCTACAGCTCGCGGTATACTGAGACGCCGGAGCGGACCACGACATCGATGTCGAGATCCGCCCAGCTGCGTGAGTGACAGCTGGCTCTGCCTATCTAGAGGCAGAGCCAGCTGTACCCGCCACCTCCCCCGTCCAATCCGCCAGTCAGCGCTGGCGGATCGGAGCGGGGAGGGGGGAATCCAGCCCCTCCCCTGTCACGGCAAAGAGCCGTGACAGGATCGAGAGGTGATCGAACGCCGGTATATGTTCGCTCACCTCCCGATCTACTGAGCCGACCGGGGCAACAGAGTAAAGAAAAGATACATTTATATTATATTATATTTATTATGTTCTATTTGGAATAGTTCAGTATTTTATAGAAGTGTTTCTTAGCCTTTATTGCAATAATCCCAAGTCCAGCATCTAACAGGTTCAAAAGTTCAGAAGCTGACTAAGCAGTGAAGCAAGGATATGACAGCCCTGAAGCATACACCCTTAAAAACAAGATATCTATGGCAAAGTCCATATTTGTATCCTGACAGATTCCCTCTAAGCTCATCACACATTAACAGACATTAGGAGGTGTCAAAACACATTTACACGCTAGCATGGTGTAAATGGACATCTTTTAATACGACAGGACAATGTGAGAACTAAAGTGTTCTCTGAACAGGTCTGCTATATACATGTGACCCGAACTGTAATCCTAACATAATAGAATGGACACCTTTAATATGAAAGCTGGCAGGAACTTCTTGATGCACAATCACAGTCCTAGTCATTCAAGGCATTTTGTTCAGTCATTTTAGAGCGATAATGATAAAACTAAGAAAGTACATCATTACACACGAGGATTAAAATACTTGAGATAAGAAGTCTATCTTTCAGGAACAGCTTAAGTGTTTCAAAAACAGTTTACTGTACTTGGTAACAAATTGTGAGAACAGAGGAAGACTGCTAAGAGGGGAATCATCGGATGTGGTTTACCAAAATGTAACAAGAGTCTCACAATGTTTGGGATTTCTTCCTTTGGTTTTCCAGGACAAGTTACAGAAGAAGCTGAAGTAAAAGCTTTTTCATTTATTCTATTTATTTTCCATGTTTATATTTTGCCAATATTGGGCAGTGCTTTGCAGAGTGTATAACACCAGGTACATTAGTCCTTGCCCCAAGGGAGAGTACAAAGAACACACCTCAAAAGCAAATTAGCCTCTCATTATGTTTTTGGGTGGAAAACAGAACTGCTGAAGGATGGCCACAAAGCATGAGGAAGGTATACAAACTTCAGACAAGAGTGTTAAAGTGTAAACCCTAACAATACATTAGCTCTCTTCTAGTCTGGTAAATATACAATTGAAAACGTTTTGTTATAGGTGTTCAATAAATGCAAAAAAAAAAGCCTGTGCTGCACTGAAATTTCAAGAAGTCCTATCAGGCCTGCACGGTTCAACTCTATGGAATACAGAACTCACTCTCTCTCTCTCTCTCTCTCTCTCTCTCTCACTATGCTATAGACATGAAGACATGGTGAGGAGACCTATAGTCCAAATCAGGAGCGCAACCAGTGGTGACAATGCTGGTCTTACACAGATACAGTACAGTGAGTCAGTGTTGTCACACCAGGACAGAAAGTGATGGGATCACCAGGTGACAGTGTAATTACAGCCCGAAAACACATTTAAGGACCAATAAGCTGTAATATACTGACATTTCTTGACGGGTTTAGATACAGGTTTACCACTCACCTACCATGCTGCACATGTTTCTGTGATTCATTCTTTTGTGAAGCTAGATAACATTATATAGCTCAGTAATCAGTAGTGGGAAAGTACCCTTTGGAGATCCTGTTTTTAAGCCCATTTCCAGTATTTCGTTTTGGATAGAGAGCTGGACCTCCTGTCTGTCATGTGAGTGTGTGTGTTGCCACAAGGAAGATTTACTCAATTGTGTCCAATAGGAGGCCTTTTGCATTGTGACTCCAGTTGTTAAAGGAAATTTGTTGTGGGATAAACACAAAGGGCTCCATTGATAACCTTATCTTCTAAAATGCTAGCTGCCTGGCTGTCATGCTGACCCACTTGCTTCAATACTTTAAATAAGAGCAAGAACAGAACAAGGGTGCAGACACATTATGCGACTATCTTGAATGGCATACCTATTGCAGGTCAATTATTCAATGACTTAGCAGTACGGAAGTCAAGGGATCAGCATAACTTGTATTTTCAGAAAAAGGCCAGCCATGAGCATGCCCCCTATGACTTTTATGATAGGTTTAAAGGAAATTAAAATAATCCTCTTTTTTTACAAGGTATGTTGTGCTACTATATGGTCTGTAGGTTGCCTTTTGCAGATGGGTACATTAATTACACGAAGGAGCGACATCTTTAAACTTTTTTTAGAATCATTTGGTGAATCTTGAATTACCTGTAGCTAAAATCTTTTGTTGTCGCAACTGTTCTTTCAGCAGTAAGTGCTGCAGTAAGGCCTGGTGGCTGCTGTTGGTCTTGCCCTCCAGGGATGCATGAGCTGAAGAAACAGGCAGGGCCCCACCATATGATCCAGGCAGTGACACCCCCTGCCTGGGTGCCTGAGGCTCGTACTTTTGTTTCTCTTTTAATGAAGATGAGGCCTGTAACACAGAATCGGAAAAAAAAAAGATGTTAATCCTGTTACATGCATGTTATTAAAAAGCTTTGAGCTCCCTACCATCAATGGCTACATGATTTAAGTAATACACATCAAAGCATACAAAGAATCTTCCCTACATATCCGAGCAGCAGAAAGGACACTGTTAGATGACCAATCAATAAGCTATTCATTGCTCTTTCAATGTTTATTAACAAAGAAGAACCAAATTAAACATAAAAAATAAACATACTCAAACATAATAAACTGACAATAACACACCTGTGTGAAAATGAGGGCAATTTAAACTAAAATCAGTTTCTATAAGTTTGCCATGATCCCTAGATTCTTCTAATGAAAGGGATATAGTGGATTATGGGACAGTCACGGCTATGACTATTTTTGGCAGCCTTCGGCTTTACATTCTGAGATGGGCACAGTAAGCATGCATGTTCTCTTCTATACACTGAACATG